GTAGGTCTCAACATTAAGAAACATGCAAAATCGATTTATTGGCTTCAAGTAAAAGCACCTTGAAAATGTAGGTATATGGAATGTACCAAGCATGGATAAAATTATTTTGTGTGAAAGGGAGGAGACAACATAAGAGGTAAATAACAGAGCATACTATATTTTAAAATAGTCACAATAGTGAATATTCACTAGCACTATGACTTTTATTTGGAATAATACTTGTATGTATATCATAAGGCCCAGCACATCAGAGATTAAGTCTCTTTATCAATTGAAAAAAGTATGTTGAGTTTAATAGCAAGTCAATTGGGGGGAGGATATATTTAACATAAATCCAATTGGTATCACATTGCTTCTATTACACACAAAATTACAGTATTTAAAAAAAAAAAAAAAAAGACAATTGAACACATACACAAATGAGGTTTTTTTTAAATGTCTTTTGAGGTCCCCTAGCACAGACTTCACCTAAGCAATGGACAGCCATGTGCAAGTTATGTAACGTTAGGCACATCATTTACCTCTAAGTCCTAATTTCCCAATATGTAAAATGGGATGATTATAGCATTATCTTAGTGTTATTCTGAAGATCAAACTAGATAATGTATATCATGTGTGCATAGTGACTAACATACTTCATTACAAAATATTAATTATTAACAAAACTATAGTTTCAAAACTGTTTAGAGTGTATAACCTCAGATTTTCCTTTCCTTTTCCATTTCAAAGTAAAGACAAGAGTTTCCCATAAATGAGTTTCCTCCAAAAATTAGTTCAAGTTCAGTAGGTGTCATATAAACCAAAGGTGGCCACGCAAGTTTTGGTTGAATTAACTTTTTCAAACTGCAAAACATCGGTGCATTATGCTAATGTACACTACGATTCTCTAAAAGTGAGATATAATATATAGTATTTCCAAAGTAATTTGACCATGAAATTGACTCCTGCATCATGTGATTCTGGTTCTCTAACATTATAGAAATGTTAGTAAAAAATGCTGACAACATATATAAAACAAATAGCATCCTTCAGAAGATAATATATGTTCTTTCCATTTTATTAATTAAATGCTATCCATCCTTCGGATCTCTGGAAAACCTTTTTAACCTCCAAACTTAACCAAGTATTCCTCTTACTCTCAGGGTTCCCTTAGACTTTTCCTTCATAGTCCTCACTGCCATCTATATTAAAATATTTGAAAGACTATCTCATTAATGCTTGTCACCTTGCCCACCAAACTGTAAGTTTCAATTAAAGCCATGCCCATATATTATGCTCAACCCTACACCCATGGGTAGATGCAATGTTTGACAACAGATGTGGAACAAACATGTGAATACAAAAATTTCACTCCAGTTTTACTTGTCATAGTAAAACACGTTATTAATGGAAAAGTAACTAAGTTACTCCACACTTACTTTACAGAATATTATACAGCCATTAAAAAGAATGAGCTCAGTCCTATGTGCTGACATCACTAAATGAGAAAGAAAAAATAATTTTATTACATACAGGGTAGGCAAAAGCAGGTTCATAGTTGTGAGTATGGGAAACACAGTTTCTTCTTATATTACTATTTATTAATTAATGCATTATTTTCCATACAAATAACTGCAAACCTACTTTTGCCCAGCCAGTATGTACTATATTGTGCACAGATGTCTAAAAACATACACATCAAATTGTTAACAGTGACTGAATCTGAAGAAGAATAGGGCTGGGAAAGGGTACTTTCATTCTTATTCTTTATTCATTTCTCTATTATTTCAATATTCTTCAACAAGTATGCATTTCTTTATTGATTTTTAGAAAGAGAGAGAGGATAGGGGAGGGAGAAAGAGATAGAGACATCAATGAGAGAGAACATCGATTGGGCGCCTCCTGCATGACCCCTACTGGGGATTTGGCCCACAATCTGGGTAGTGCCCTGACCAGGAATTGAACTGGCAATCTCTTGGTGCATGGGTCGACGCTCAACCACTGAGTCACACTGGCCAGGCATACATTTCTTTTCTAATTAATTTTTTAAGGCTTTGATCATCAGCAAGTCCACATAAATTATATCTTGTGCTTTACACATAGTTTATATTCACATCACTATTTCTTTCAAATATTTTTATAATGATTCCCATAGCAATCTTGAGGAAAGTAAGACCCCATAGCATTAACCCCATATTCTAGATTGAAAGCTATAGGTAAACATCACACAACAAAATAAATGACAGAACTGGGACTAAAATTTACCCTTTTTTCCTAGTCCTGTGTTCTTCTCATTACATAGCACTGCCTTTCCAGTAAGAATCACAAGACTGTTTTAATATCTACATTTTAGTACCAAAGGACTAGAAGAGATTTAATCCTATTTCCACCTCTACCTCACTTCTTTAAGTCCCGATTCTGCACTGCAGGCCAATAGCGATAGAGGCCTCTTTTAAATAACCCCAGTGAAGGGGAAATTTAAAAATCCCAGTGCACGCTCCTCATTATTAGAAAACTCCCTTTTATGAAGCTAAAATTGACCTCTGTTAGCCTGACCTTTTAGTCCCAGTGTGGTCTCTTAGAATGCCACAGAACAAGCTTGTCTACTCTTCTAGAAAATATTCGAGTATATGAAGACAGCTAACACTTTTGGGAATGGGTCTTTGCCTATAAAAATTTCCCAGTAAAACATGTCATTATTCATCTTCTAATTTTAGTGACATCCTGACAAACTGCTTGGCAGAGAAAGAGAAGGGGAACTAATGCAGGAATCCTGCAAAATAATGACATACAAGTAGTCAATTGTTACTACAATTCTTTAAGGAGACTTACAAAGAATCATGCACTTCTTATTAGTCCTTCTTTGTTACATGGCACTAAATCAAATAGCTTTCTGATATAAAGTATAGGAAAGAAGACAGAGTCAGATGCTTCTGACAAAATTTTGGCTTTAGATAGCAGCATCTAACTGGCTCAAGAATTTGCTATAAATGCGGCCAATTATTATTCCTCCATTAGACAGATAAACAATCAACCTAATAATATTTCCTCAGTAAAATATTTCTTGCTGTTTCTGTTAGTACCTCCAATAACAAAACACCTGGTGTTTCTACCAATGGACAAATGAGGCTTCCTCACAGTTATTTTTTTAACCTTTTTTTTTCATTGACTTTTAGAGAAACAGGAAGGGAGAGGGAGAAAGAGAAACATCCACATCCACGCCAGAGTGAAGCTTTGATTGGACTACCTCCTCCATGCCCCCTACCAGGGATTGAGCCCACAACCTGGACATGTGCCCTGATCAGGAATCAAACCAGCAACCTTTTGGTGATAGGGTTGATGTCCAACCAACTGAACCACACCAGATCTTTCTCACAATTTAGAAGAAGCAAAGGAATTAATAATAAAAGTGATAAACAAAATAAAACTTAGTAACTAGAGATTCATGAAAAGATTTAAGACCACAATGACATGGCTGTTAGATAACACCAAGAAAACTGACAATGAAAAGGACAAGAAGTCTATAAAGAACTGCAAGCACAAGAAGTCTTGTACTTATAAGTACTAGAAGTACAGGAAGGTACACTGTAGCTAAATACTTACTAAAACTGCTTTTTATCATCTGATGAAAAAAATCAGAATTAATTGTTTGTGCCAAAACTTACAGTAAGAATACAGGACCAGACAGACATCTATTGGGAATAGCACAGCTTTTTACCTAATGATAATTGACACAAACTTGAGAAAGTCTTCTCAAATGGTGCTTCGGTTTTATTTTTTCTGAATCAGAACCTAAGGGAAAGAAAAGGTGCTCTGAGAACCTAACTGAAAATATCCCTTTACTCTTCTTTACTGAACTGTCTTTCCCCTCATCAGAATTTATTATAATTTGTAAGTACATGTCTTTGTGCTTGCTCATTGTCCAGTGACTCGGGAAACTATAAGCTCCTCTAAGACAGAGTCAACTCTTTTGAACATTATGTGCACTTGAGCATAGGGCCTTCCTTGCTCATGGAATGTGCTCATTAAATATTTGTAGAATTAGTGAAGACAGAAAGAGGAAAGGAAAAGGGGACCACAAGTTACCACAATCAGTTTGCCTTCAACACTAATTTCAATGTTGAGAAATTAATCACTTGTTGGACACTTATTATTATCTAGACCTTTTCCATACATCGTTTAATTTAGCCTCACAACTGCCAGGTTTCTCATTTGAAACTAAAGTAAAGCTCAGAGAAACTAAGTATTAAACAATTCTCTTAAACCACACACCTAGTAAATTTGAACTCTAGAATATGTGAATATCAGGTTTATCTGATGTGTTAGTGGACCCCAAGAGGCCCTGTCTTCAATGATCTCTCCATACAGTTATGGAGAAGTTGGAGGGGGAGACACCTACAACCAATTAGTTGTTTTATACAACCCAAGACCTGTGGCTATGTAGACAGTCGGAATTTTCTTCCAGCTTACAGAAATCCTGCTAAAGAAGTAAATGAGTTACAAAAAGCAAGACAAGCATTTTTACATTAACCAAACAACTTGATCCTCAAAACAATCTTTACAAAGAGAGACATATACCCATTGTGTTGGTGAAAGCACTGGGCTGAGTACTTAGTCCTTCACATTCTCCCCACAAACATGTGGGATTGGGGTTTTCCAAAAAGAAACAGTTACTGCATAAAACTGGCACAAAATTTTAGAGGCACTCGGTGCCATAATCCTCGTTCTGCCACTGTAAATATGTGATCCAGATGGGAGCTTTCCACGACTCAATTTACCCATTTGCATTTTAAGTTTGATGAGGGACACATTCACTCTGTGCAATTCGTTAAGTGTTGCCAGATACATTTATGAGGAGACAACACATCCAGGTCAAAGAAAGGGTGTGAGAATATCATTTTCGAAAGGTTTGCACTGCAGCCAACACTAACTCTGGGCTGCGGTCCACACTCGCCCTCGCTAGCTCCTCTCATTTCCCCTTTCCCCTGGAGTCGGATTTAATGCAACAGGCAGGTTCCTACCTTGGTTTGAACACTCTTATCAAACTTGTCATTTTTGAAGCTAAACGTATTTTGATGTCTCTGAGGCCTGGAACGGGCCACGTTCCCTCTCTGGGAGCTCATCGCGGAAATCACAATCAACACACGCTGGGACAAGGAGGATGCGAGAAGCCAGAAACTACCTCCACCAGCAGAGGCCTCTGTCACTAACCCGGAAGGAACTTAGCTAGCTTTTCCCGCCCCGCCCCCGTCAACCCACGTGACTCCGCGCAGAGGTCAAAGGACATCCTCGATCCCTCAGCAACCTTAAGTCTCTTAAACCTGGCCAAGATTTGATCTCTCTGCTCAACCTCCCTCAAACCCCGCAGATAAATCCCGCTTTCTTCGAAGCGAAGATTCCCCCATTGGCCCAAACGTGGTAGTCCATCAAGGCGGAGGGGCGGGGAACTTTTACTTTTATTGGCCCTTCTTTTCCGCAATCCCCGCCTCCTGCCGACTCAGCTCAGCCTCTCCTGGCGCCCGACTTGGCTGGGCGGCTTGTGATTGGTGGAAGTCGGGCTAAACTGGGCTGCGTTCCTCCCCCCCGGCCGTTCGCAGGCTGGAGCCGGGGTCAGCTTTGGCATCTTCATCCAGTCAGTGACCAACTCCAGGCTTAGCAAGTCTTCTGCGGGTCCCCCTACGGTTCCCTTCCAGCCTCCCTCCCGCCACGAGGGCGAGCCCAGCGGCTGGTAGGCTGAAAAGGAGCAAGAAAGGAAGACTGAAGAGAAGGAACACCTGGCTGGGTCTGGGTGGTGTCCGCAGTGCCAGAAAGGGCGGCGGTGGAGGTGCTGGTGCTGGTGGTGGCGGCGGCAGCAGCTGCGACCACGGCCACTCGGGACCTGAGGCCCGAGAACAAGCGGCGGCGGCGGCGGCGGCGGCAGCAGCAGCAGCTCCTCCAGTGCCTCGCGCCGGGGTCGTTAGTCAGCAGAACGCGAGCCCGTGTGGAGGAGCAGTGCCGGCGCGAGGAGGCGAGACTCGGGAGCGCGAGTGGGCCCTTTCGGGCGCTGCCGTCTTTCTTCGTCCCGTCGCCGGGGACAGCAGCCCTCGTCCCTCCTCCTCGGCCGGGCCCACCCGCAGGCCGGGAGAGTCCGGCGGCATCGCGGATCGCGCCGAGTGGAGGACAGCGCGGCGGCAGAGGTTCGCTCCCGGCCCTTTCTGCCAGACCCCTTGGCTGCGGCCCCTCAGGTGCAGGTGCGTGAGGCCGCGAGCGGCGGGGACACTGCGGCCGGGCTTGGGGAGGGGGCGCTAGGCCCGGAGCCGCAGCGCGGGCGGGACGAGCCGCGGCCGGCGGGGGAGGGGAACGGGAGGCGTCTTTGTTGTTAGAGACCGGGATCCCTCTCGACGCCGGGAAAGGCGGGGAAGCCCCTCCCGATTTTGGAGAGGATTCTCCAGTGGTTTCAAGAAGGAAAGGTAGAGCGGGGTCCCGGTGGTCCGCGGGGCTGCGGGGATCGGGGGCCTGGGAGAGGCAGGCTGACGGACTGGGAAAGGTCTCGGGTCCTTCTTGCCGCGAAGGGTCTCATTTTGTTTCCTGTGCTTTTCTCCCCGTGGACCGAAAGAGGAGGTCAGGTTCACGGAGATTCGCGGTGCCTGAACGCTTTCTCCTGAGTGTGCTCGTGTGTCAGCCTCGATTTGAGATCGAATCTGCCGGGTGCCTAGTGATTTGCGGGCGGTACAGTACTTGTTCTCTAGGTGGGTGAACTGCAGTCTTACCTGTTTTCGGACTCGACGGTAACTGGTCAGGAATTTTTAATCGGAAAACTGGAGCTTATGTTTGGTGTTTTGGTGGTTTTTTTTAATCCTGAAACGAAAGTTCTTTTAAATGAGATTGTATTGTTGTGAAGGGCTTTTGTAAAGAGAGTTTAACCCAGCTTCTTGTTTTAAAAAAGTGTTCCTGATGATCCGTGGTGAAATTTCTGGCAGTGCCAGGGCATTTTTTTTTTTTTTTTTTAAAACGATGCTTCCATTTAAATCAGTGTGAGGTGGATGAATAACGGAATACAGAGAGGGTGACCTTTAAATTTTAGCTGTTTATGAAAAAGTATTACTGTTTAATATTTTTTGTAATATATAATACTTGATCCGCAGGATGATTCATTGTTTTTTGTTTTGTTTTATAAGGCTCCAATTAATAAAATGAATTTTGGATATCTTGTGTCAGCATTTGAAACTACCTAATGGGTCTGAATAAAAGTCAGGAACGTGTTGTGATAGCATTCATCTGTTTACATTAACAGGGAGACTTAAAATAAAATGAACTTTTCTCCATAAAGAGTTTGTCTCTATATATGTTTATAGAATAAACTCACTTGGGTAATATGTCTAATTTGATAATTTTCGTAATTGCAGTCTTCTAATTTGGTACTACCAACTCTTTGCTTGTTGTTAAATTTCTGTTTTGGGAGTAAGGGTGGTGAGTTGCTTGAAGAACAGTGGAGAAAGCCGTGTTTCCACTAATAAAAAATATAAAATCTCTGTTGTGTAATAACTGCTATATTTTTTTTGAGATCCAGGAGGAAATGAATAGCACCCTCAACCTATATTTTTACCTCTCTTTTCTCCTACTGTAGTATTAATAAGGTTAATTGGCAAGGCTAGGATTAGATTTTTAGTAGGCTAGGAGTTTTAACTTTGTCCCTTGCTGTACTATGGTACTGTAGTAGATAAGTGGCTTGTTTTCTTGTATATTTTTGCCCATTTTGAAATGTGTATGAAATGACATCTGACAAATAATTTTCTGTATCCCTATGATAAATAAAAGTACCATAAAGCATCATGACAAAATAATGTTTTTGGTTGCTTGATGAATACAGAAGTATTAGACAATCCAAGTTCTGTCACTGAATTGGTCAACAGCTCCAGGCCAGTTATCCCACCATCTGAGTCAGTTTCTTCATCTGTAATATAGGGCTAATAAAATGTTCCACCTGTTACTCTGTTATGTGACATTGGTTGTTCTAGTTAAGTACTTCTTAGTGGAGTTCACTTATTTTGTTTTAGTATTATGAATTTCAATTTCTTGGTGAAGAATTAGCTTAAAGAAAGTTACAATAGGGAGACTAGCTATCTATATGTCATTTAAGAATTGATAAGACTCAAAGTTCCTTCTATGTTAAGATTGGTGTTATATCTTTAGAATCTGTGATGACAAGCAAAGGGAATGACAAAGTAACTTGGTTAGTTTATTTACTGATAACATTTTATTTCTAATATATTCAAGGATTTGCTCTTACTGCTGAAAATTTATGCCCTCCTTTCCTACCCTGTTAAAAATGTTTCACGTGCATTGCCCTATATGTCTCTCAGACCCAGCTTTGTAAGTTGGAGGGGAAAACTGATGTCTTATACAAGTGAAATAAAGCCCAGGAAAGTTAATTATTTGAATTGCTTAAAGCTACACAATTTGTAAGATGCAGAATTGAGACTTGAAGCTGAATTTTCTAACATCTAGTCCTAAATCCTTTCTAAATCCTTTCCTCTGGAGCAGTGTTTTTCAAACACCTGGCTAGACCCAACAGTTTTTGCCAGTTCAGGTGAAAAGAGAAATAATATAGCAGTGTAAGTATTGGCAAAAGACAATATAATGAATATCCATTCATCCATTACCAATTTGAAGAAATAAAACTACAAAACAAAATGAAGCTTTATCCAATTAAATCCAATTTCCCCATTCCCTACCAGTCACCCAAAATTAAATGCATCCTCCTATCCATATTTATACTTTACTACCTACCTTTATATCCATGAACATTATATAGTTTTTCTTTACTTTAAGGTTATTTAAATAGGATGTTTGTATATGTAGCTTGCTTTGTTCACTCAGTTTGCCAAGATTTATCTGTTTATTTAGGTAGTTCTAGTTTATTTTTACTGCAATATGATATGTGTTCCATTATGTGACTATATCAAGTTTCTGTTGGTCATTTTAGTTGTTTCCAATTGTTTGCTTATTAAACAGTACAGTAGGGAATATTCTTGAATATGTTTACTTAAGGCCGTGGTTCTTGATCCTATATCTCAATTTTATAGAAATGGTTTGCAATTTTCCCAATATTGTCCTTAAATGAAATTCATACTAATAAACTTACATTCATATTTTAAATAAGGTAATGCCCTTACTAAAATATAAGAAGTAATTTATAACAAAGTTATATATATATATATATATATATTTTAAATATGTTTTTATTGCTCTTTTAGAGAGAGGAAGGGAGAGAGAGATAGAAACATTGATTTGAGAGACACATGGATCAGCTGCCTCCTGCATATCCTCTTCTGGGGATCAAGCTTGAAACCTGGGCATGTACCCTGACCAGGAATCAAATAGGAACCTCTCAGCCCATGGGAACGCACTCAGTACACTGAGTCACACTGACCAGACCAAAGTCATATAGTTTGCTGTATAAATGCTTGGACTCAACTACAAATCTTTCTACCAAGTGTGATGGTAGACCAGTAACATCAGAATTCTGGAAGCTTGTTAGAAATCAGAAGCTTAGGCCCCACTCTACTAACTCAGATGCTGAATTTTAACAAGATTTCCAGGTGATTTGTGTGCACATTGATGTCTAAGAAGCACTGCTAGAAGAAATAGTAGTAGTCAGCTACTTTGTACCAATTGGTAGTGTCACCATGAGTATGACAGTTACTAATGCAGATTAAAACAGGTAGGTTGAATTGGCCATTCAGACACCAGTGGTAGCACTGTTGATGATAAATACATTTCTGAAATAACTATTTTCAGTGAAGTTTGAACAAAAATAAAAGTGCATTCTTATCTCTTTAAACAGTGGTTGCATTCTTTAAAATCTTCATCTATATTAAAACAACACAGATATACTTTGTTTTAAGTCCTGTTTATAAATATCTGACCTTACTGTCCAGCAGAATGTTCAAAAGACATGGGACACAGAGCAGCATTATCTCTACACACCAAGAGTTCTTGGCACCCCTGGCATCTGTTCAGTAGTACCCCCCCCCCCCCCATCCATTATAACAACTAAAAGCCAACATTGAGAATGATTGCCTTGGGATATAAATCTAGTAGTAGATTGCTAGAACACAGGGTAAATGCTGCTTCTTCACCTTTGTTAGATAACTACCAGTTTTCTCTCCAAAGTGTCTGTCTCAGTAATGGATGAGGTCTATTTTCCCACCTTCCAA